TAGGTCCCCGATATGCTCCCGTGACTAGTTCTGTGTGATGATGACGGCCAAGGATGTACTATGAACAGTCCCTTCGTGTCCTGTGCCCGTTGGCCTCATGGCTCCGTTATCCTATATAATAAAAGGCTGATAGGCAAATTGTCCCCTGACCCGGAGTTCACCCGGGAGTTTGACCAGGGGGCGGGGCTGGCCGGCCAACCGCCCGTGGCCCCACCCCCTGGCCGACACCGCCCCCGATTGGCCCCCCACCCCGATTGGCGGTGAGGCCAGCCACCCTACTTCCTACGGCCCAGCCTGATCGCCCCGATCAGGGCGGGCCGGCTGGAACCCCATCTGTGCATGAATTCGTGCACCGGGCCTCTGGTGAAGTATATTTTTACATCATCTGCCATACGCTGTACAATGTCCCCCTCCCCCCAGTTTGTCACTAGGTTAGGCTATATTTTTAATAAGCAGCTTGTGTGTGGGGGGGATAAGAGGTTTTTATTTGTTTATTTCAGAGAGGAAGGGAGAGGGAGAGAGAGAAACAACAATGAGGAGAGAGAATCATGGACCGGCAGCCTCCTGCACGCCCCACACTGGGGATCGAACCCGCAACCCGGGCATGTGCCCTGACCGGGAATCGAACTGTGACCTCCTGGGTCATAGGTCGATGCTCAACCACTGAGCCATGCCGGCCGGGCGCAACTTGAACACCCTTTATAATAAAAGGCTAATATGCAAATTGACCTATCGGTGGAACAACCGGTCGCTATGACGTACACTGACCACCAGAGGGCAGACGCTCAGCCAGAAGCCGGGCTCAGGGCTGGCGAGGGCAGCGGGCTCCCGGCCTGCGAGAGGGCACAGGCCAGGCTGAGGGTCTCCCCCCTCCGCCGTACGAATGTCGTGCACTGGGCCTCTAATTCTTAATAAATCAAATCTAGACATTGATTCCTTGGCGGTTTCGAGCAGCAACGATAACAGCTCTGTTTGGGCAAGAACAGGGTGCTGAGCCAGCCCAGGGGGTGGGGGTGAAGGAAGGCCCTTCTCGACCCCAGAGCCTGGTGGGAGGGAGCCTTCCCATCTCAAGACTCCTCACCCAGAACCCCCTGTACCCGAGAAAGCCAGTGTCTCCGTCCTTTCCCCCCATCACGTGCCTTGGCGGTGAGGATTCCCGCCCCGGCCAGTGTGGCTCAGTGGGTAGAGTGTCGGCCTGCGGGCTGAAGGGTCCCGGGTTCGATTCTCGCTCAGGGCACAGGCCCTGGTTGTGGGCTCGATACCCAGTGTGGTGTGTGCAGGAGGCGGCCGATCCGCAATTCTCTCTCATCGTGGATGTTTCTCTCTCTCACTCCCTCTCCCTTTTTCTCTGAAATGGATAAAAAATAAAAACAAAAGTAAACAAGACTGCTTGACCAGACGAGGACGCCCCGGGCACAGAGAGGCGCGTTGGGTAGCCTGTTGCTGCACAGCTGGCTCTGGGTCTGGGTCTGGATGTGGGCAGAGGCAGGAGGAAGGGGGGTGAGATTTGGTTGCCCCAGTGATCAGATGACAATGTTATTTTGTCAATGGTGTTTTCCAGGGAGAAATTCCTGGCAGCCACATCACTAGATAAGGCTTTGGATTCCAAGGTGCTTTACAAAGTTTGTCCCCGTCTGGCGTGCAAGGTTAGCATTTATCTGGCCTGGCCGGTGTGGCTCATGCAGGGGGCAGCAGGTCCATGTCTCTCTCTCTCTCTCCCCCTCCCTTCCTCTCTCTCTAAAAGCCATAAAAGATCTTTTAAAAAGAGAAAGAGCCCTGGCCGGTGTGGCTCAGTGGATAGAGCGTCGGCCTGCGGACTGCAGGGTCCCGGGTTCGATTCCGGTCAAGGGCATGTACCTGGGTTGCGGGCACATCCCCAGTGGGGGACGTGCAGAAGGCAGCTGATCGATGTTTCTCTGTCATCGATGTTTCTAACTCTATCCCTCTCCCTTCCTCTCTGTAAAAAATCAATAAAATGTATTTTTTTTAAAAAAGTTCTGTCATTTCGACATATGTACCTATATGCTTTATGCTTTTTATTATTTATTTACCACAAGGAAAGGTCAGGAATTGTTATCTTTTACATTTTTTTTACTGTTTTCCGTTCATGGCAGCTGTGTCAGCGCTCCATGTGACGTAGGTGCTTATGCACGTGGGTTCCGACGTACGGCGAAAATCGCGTTATGTCCCGCCGTGGAACGGATCCCCGACGTAACGCGAGGACCTGCTGTATTTGATACTAGAGGCCCGGTGCATGAATTCGTGCACATGTGGGGTCCAGCCAGCCCGCCCTGATGCAGGGGGAGGGGGGGCGCCAATGGGGCTGGGGGAAGGGCTGCAGGCAGTTGGCCGGCCGGCTCCACCCCCTGCTCAAACTCCCAGTCAAGGGGACAAGGTGCCTATTAGCCTTTTATTACGTCGGATATGTATTCACTTGATGGTTTGCTTCAGTCTGAAAGTGCTGATGCTGGGCAGTCACCTCTTCAAATATTAAACAAACTCCCTCAAATAACTATCTTTGCCGACTCTGTCCTGCGAAATGCAGTTGCATTACTTGCCTCTCTAGGTCCCTGATATGCTCCCGTGACTAGTTCTGTGTGATGATGACGGACAAGGATGTACTATGAACAGTCCCTCCCTGTCCTGTGCTCCTTGGCCTCATGGCTCCGTTATCCTATATAATAAAAGGCTGATAGGCAAATTGTCCCCTGACCCAGAGTTAGACCCGGAGTTTGACCAGGGGGCGGGGCTGGCCAGTCAACCTCGGGCGGCCACTCCCCCCGGCTGGCCCGGCCTGATCAGCCCCAATCGGGGCGGGTCGCCTGGACCCCACCACCACCACCTGTGCAAGAATTCGTGCACCGGGCCTCTAGTGAAGTTTATTTTTACTTCATCTGCCATATGCTTTACAATGTCCCCCCCCTCAGTTTGTCACTAGGTTAGGCTATTTTTTTACTAAGCAGCTATGCTTAGTTATATGCTAATTAGACCAGACGTCTTCCGGACGTCCTTCCAGACACAGCCATGGTGGCAGGGGCTGAGGCAGAGGTGGTTAGGGGCAACCAGGCCAGCAACTTGTGTGTGTGGTGTGTGTGTGTGTGTGTGTGTGTGTGTGTGTGTGTGTGTGTGTAAGAGGTTTTTTTTGTTTTGTTTTTATTTCAGAGAGGAAGGGAGAGGGAGGGGGACAGAAACATCCATGATGAGAGAGAATCAGGCATCGGCTGCCTCCCACACGCCCCCCGCCACGGGGGCTGGAGCCCGCAACCCGGGCCTGTGCCCTGATGGGGAATCAAACTGCAACCTCCTGGTTCCTAGGTTGATGCCCCACCCCTGAGCCACGCCGGCCCCGGCCCTGCTACGCCTTTTCTCTCTGAGCTTCTCCCCAAAGTCTTCTAAGTTCTACCCGACGAAAGCCCGTCCGTCCCCTGACAAAGGGAGCGAAGTGCATGAGCCCCAGGGGATTCCTCCGAAACCGAACCAGAACGCGCGGCTCATCGTTCCTTTCTCAGGGGGGGGAAGGAAGACACAGCCACGGGCCCCGGCTCCGATCCATGCATCCTTTATTCCGCGGCGTCCGAGCCACAGCACGCGGTCCCGCCTGACAACGGTCTGAGGCTGACAGTACATTTAAGGCTTTTAAATTTGAGGAGGAAAAAAAAGAGAAAAGAAATGAAAACAAAACCCCTCCAAACCCAAACCCAAACCCCAACCCAAACCCCCTACCAAGACGAGCAGCGCAGCAACGTTAAGCATCCCCCGTGTCGGACGCGTGGGAGACGCATCTCCAGTGTCCAAACCCACGTCCCCGCGACACTGAGAAGGTGCGTTTTGTGGAATTTCACGGACATCAGTTCTTCCACGCGTCCACGGGCCGTTTGCTTTTTCTTCCTTTCTTGTTTTTTCCTTTTTTGTCTTGGAAATGGTATAAAAATTTGTTTTTAATAGCAAAACCTAGGAATAAAAACGTATTAACAAAACGTACTCAATCGTGTACATTACAAACTCGGAATCTGCAGTTCATTGATGGATCCTGACGGGGGGTGGGGGCGGGGGCCAGGACCCATCAGGGATCTATGCACAAGGTCATGGCAAATACGGACGGGACTTCGTAAAAAGCTTACGGGGAGGGTTCGCCGGGAGGAAAGGGCCGGCCGGGCTCTGGTTAGAGGACAAACCCGACCATCAACGCAGGAAAACTCTGTGGACGGAGTAATAAATGGAAACTTGAGAGAAAAAAAACAAAAAACAAAAAAACACCAGTTTCTTTTTGTTTAAGGACATTCCCGTGATGGCCCCATGGTTCTAGTTGCTGAAGCTGGTCAGGGAGGTCCAGTAGATACCCTTCCCATGATCTGTTTTGGGGAAAAGGCCGGCATGGTAACCAAAGTTAAGGGCCCCGGCCGGTGTGGCTCAGTGGACAGAGCGTCGGCCTGCGGACCGAAGGGTCCCGGGTTCGATTCCGGTCAAGGGCACGGACCTCGGTGGCAGGCTCCTCCCCGGCCCGGGCCCTGGTCAGGGGCTCGTGCAGGAGGCAGCCCATCGATGGGTCTCTCTCTTTCTCTCTCTCTCTTCCACTCTCTCTAAAACAGTGGTTCTCAACCTTCCTAACACCGCGACCCTTTAATGCGGCTCCTCATGCTGTGGGGACCCCCAACCATCACATTATCTTCGTGGCTGCTTCATCGCTGTCATGTTGCTGCTGTGATGAATCATCATGTAAATACCTGATATGCAGGATGGATTTTCATTGTTACACATTAAACATAATAAAAGCATAGTGATTCATCACAGAAACAATCTGTAATTATCTATGTGTTTTCCGGGGGTCTTAGGCAACCCCTGCGAAAGGGCCGTTCGACCCCCAAAGGGGTCTCGACCCACAGGCTGAGAACCAACCACCGCTCAAAAAGATCAATGGAAAAATAGCTTCGGGCGAGGATTAACCAAAAAATTAAAAAATAAAAGAAAGGAAAGGAAAAAGGTTAAGGAATTTTAGTCACCAGTGTTTCAGTTGCTCTATCACAGCTTCACCCGTGAATGTGGAGGACATGGGGGAGAGTGGAGAGGGGGGTCCTGCTCAAATGAACCCCAAGTGATGGGTAAGGAAGCCACGCAGCTGGGAGGATCCTCACACAGCACGAGAACCCGTCGTCCGCCCCCCAGCCCTCCTTCCCGACCCCCCACAAGGTCACGGAGCTGGGAGCCCACAGCAGGTCCGAGTCGGAGGTGGTGTGAATCAGCAGAAATTCTCTAGCTACGCGGCCGAGGCCTCCCGGCTCTCGGGTGAGAACAGTGAGAACGCTGGCGTCCGGGCCGTGGCCGTGGCCGTGGCCGCCACCCGGGGAGAGCGTGTGCGGGAACAGAGGGCCCGGAGTTCGCTGTCACTGAGGTAAGAACCCGGGGCGCCCTCAGGAGTTGGGGAGTTCGTGGGAGATGAACTGTTTTAGTCTTTCCAGGTATTGTGCGTAAAGCTCTATGTCATTGTGGCCGGCGCCCTCCACCCACAGGGGCTCCACGGCCCGCGGGCAGCGCTCGTACATGGCCAGGCCGTGCGAGAAGTCGATGACCTCGTCCTCCGTCCCGTGAATGACCAGCACCGGGGAGGTGACCTTGGAAATCTTGTCGATGCTGCAGAGAGAAGAGGGGGTCGGGGGGGGGGAAAGGACTCGTGAGTGAAGCTCACAGACGACATCCCACACCTCCCCCTCCTCCTCCTCTTTTTCCAGGACAGCGGTTCTCAACCTGGGGGTCGCACGACCCTTTCGCAGGGGTCGCCTAAGACCATCGGAAAACACATCTATAATGACAGATTGTTTTTGTGATGGATCGCGACGCTTTCATGATGTTCAATTTGTAACCATGAAAATAAAGGGTGTCCCCAAATTCACGCAAGAAGTAATTTTGATAGCAAACACAGGTTTATAATTAAAAACTATAAATTGTTTATTGATTCCTAAAGTAGACAGTCTAGGGTTATGTGTGGAATAGCACATCGGGTCCATGGCCTCCCCGGCTTTGCTGGCACGGACGCAAAGCCGCGGTCCTCATGGGTCTCCCTTGTCCCTGCTCCTGGGCCATCATTGGTCCTTGGTGATGCTGATCCAATGGAAGGGATTGGCATCCAAGGGCAGCAGATATGAGAATCTGATCCAATCAGCCAAGTCAAATCGGGCTTTTATTTGTTGTCGTTGTTAATGCTCACCCAGAATGCAAATCCTGCGTGAATGTTGGGACGCCCTTTACACCCTGCATATCAGGTATCTCCATGACGACCCATCACAGCAGCCACATGACAGCGATGAGGTAGCCACGGAAATAATTCTATGGTTGGGGTCCCCACAACAGGAGGAACTGTACTAAAGGGTCGCGGCCTTAGGAAGGTTGAGAACCACTGCTCTAGAAATTCTTAATTTTAAGGTACTTTTTATTGATGTCAGAGAGGAAGGGAGAGAGAGAGAGAGAGAGAGAGAGAGAGAGAGAGAGAGAGAGAAACATCCATGATGAGAGAGAATCACGGACCGGCCGCCTCCTGCACGCCCCCCACTGGGGATGGAGCCCGCCACCCGGGCCTGTGCCCTGGGCGGGAATCGAACCCTGACCTCCTAGTTCCTAGGTCGACGCCCAACCACTGACCTGGGCGTCCTAGGGACCTTTCTTTCTTTCTTTTTTTTTTTTTTTATATTTTATTGATTTTTCACAGAGGGGAAGGGAGAGGGGCAGAGAGTTACAAACATCGATGAGAGAGAAACACCGATCAGCCGCCTCCTGCACACCCCCCACTGGGGATGTGCCCGCAACCCAGGTCCATGCCCTTGGCCGGAATTGAACCCGGGACCCTTCGGTCCGCAGGCCGGCGCTCTATCCGCTGAGCCACACCGGCCGGCCGGGACCTTTCTCTTCGGGGCGATGGCGCACAGGGTTAAACAGTGACCAGAGCCGGGAGCCTTCGCCCTTGGCACAGGGCACCTCGCGGGGCGTGGGGCGCGGGGCGCGGGCGAGGAGAAAGGTCGCCTGTGCAGCAGGAGGGGCCGCGGGGACAGCGCGGGCGTGACGTCACACGCACCCCTCCGCCGGCGAACAGGGCCCGGCCCCCCGGCCGTGATGGGCGGCGCGGGGAGCGGGGCGGACAGGCGCCCGGAGGACGGCAGAGCCTCGCCCGGCCGAGTCCCCGGCCAAGATCTGAGCCGCCGCGGCGGCCGCAGCCTCGCAGGTGAAGAGCCGTGTTTATAGCCCGGCCGGTGTGGCTCAGTGGGTAGCGCGCCGGCCTGCGGACCGAAGGGTCCCGGGTTCGATTCCGGTCAGGGGCATGGACCTGGGTTGCGGGCACATCCCCAGTGGGCAGGGGGCGTGCAGGAGGCGGCTGATCGACGTTTCTCTCTCCCCCTTCCTCTCTCTCTAAAACCAATAAGTAAAAATTGTTTTTTAAAAGGAGGGAGTGTGGGCAGGCTAGAAGGGGTCAGTAGAAAAAAAACGGGGGGACATATGTAATCATTTCAAAATAAAGATTTTTTAAATATGTATTTTTATTGATGTCAGAGAGGAAGAGGGAGAGGGAGAGAGAAACATCCATGATGACAGAGAACCATGGACGGGCTGCCTGCTGCATGCCCCCCACTGGGGATCGAGCCCGAACCCGGGCCTGTGCCCTGACCGGGAATCGAACCCGGGACCCTTCAATCCGCAGGCCGACGCTCTACCCACTGAGCCACACCAGCCAGGGGCAAAAATAAAGATTTTTTTTGAAAAAAGAACATGGGAAGGGACCCTCCTTTAAGAGATCTTCGTTTTTCATTTCTTTCTTTATTATGTTTTTAATCTTCGCTGGAGGATACGTTCCCATGGATTTTTAGAGAGTGGAAGAGAGACGGAGAGAGAAGAGAGAGACATCGATGCGAGAGAGACGTGCGCCCTGGCCGGGAATGGAACCGTGACCTCCTGGTTCACAGGTCAAGGTCGACGTCGGCCCCTGAGCCCCGCCGGCCGGGCCCCCCAGGCCGCGTTTAGCCCAATGCCCGCACCCTCCACCCTCCAGCAAACACTGGCGGCTGCTTGACCGTTAAGGAGTGAGCTGAAGAGTCGTTCAGAAAGGCTGTTCCCTCTGTTGCCAGGGCAACGCACGCCCAGCACCTCCCTTGCAGCCACTGGCCGGCCTCTCGTTGCCAATTCAGCGCCAACCAGGCCGCCCGGGAGGCGCCCGTCGGCCACTTGGCATTCCCGGCCGCAGCCCTGGAGTGGGCAGCGCCGGGCGCTCCCGGGGCACGGAATTCACCGGGTCCCGACACACGCGGCCCTGAACTGGCTCACCCCGGGGGTGCCCGTGTCCCTCCTAGTAACAGCACAGGCCGTGTCATGCACAATCACATGGCCACAGTTCACCCCCAGCAACTGCAGAAGGACCCTCAAAATCCTCAAAGTCCGGCCGGTGTTGCTCAGTGGTGAGCGTCGACCTGTGAACCAGGTGACAGTTCGATTGCCGGTCGGGGCACACGCCGGGGTGCAGGGTTCGATCCCGGGCCGGGGAGCATGCGGGAGGCAAGCGATGGATGTTTCTTCTCACATCAGCGTTCCTCTCTTGCTCTCTCTCTCTTTCCTGTTCCCTCAATATCCATGAACACGTCCTCAGGTGAGGATTTATAAAAGTCCCTCATGGGCGTGCTCAGTGCTGAGCAGGCCAGCCCTCAGATGGAAGGGTCCCGGGTTCGAATCTGATCAAGGGCGCGGACCTGGTGACAGGCGGGCTTGCTCCCCGGCCCTGGTTGGGGCGCCTGCAGGAGGCAACCCGTGGACGTGTCCCTCGCATCCGTGTTTCTCTCTCTGTCTCTCCCCCGTCCCTTCCTCTCTCTCTAAAAAGCAATCCATGCCCTGACCGGTGTGGCTCAGTGGATAGAGCGTCGGCCTGCGGACTGAAGGGTCCCGGGTTCGATTCCGGCCAAGGGCATGGACCTTGGTTGCAGGCACATCCCCAGTGGGGGTGTGCAGGAGGCAGCTGATCGATGTTTCTCTCTCATCATCGATGTTTCTAACTCTCTATCCTTCTCCCTTCCTCTCTGTAAAAAAAAATCAATAAAAAATATATTTAAAATAAATGAATACAAATAAAAATCGATCCATGGAAAAGTTCCCTGGGGTGAGGATCCACAACAGCAAGAAGCAAACTTGCGGGCGCTTGCAGTCTGCCTGGCGTGTGCGCCCCACGCTAAGCGCCCGTCACGCCCTCTGCACGTGGCTCTCGGCGAGTCAGCGGCCCACGCTCCCCCGGTGCACGAACTCTGAGCCCCGAGTTCCCTCCCTCCCCCGGCGGGCGTGTCCGGTCACCCCGTGTCCCCGAAGGCGCCGGGACTGGGGGCGGTGACGGACGACCGTGAGGACTTATCACCGGCCCACAGTTACCGGGGGCGTCGGGCCGGGATGGGGGCGTGGGGCGCCCCGGGCACCGGCCACGCGGGCGGGCGGCGGGCGGGCGGGCTTACCTGGGGAACACGTCGAAGCAGTACGTCTTCCGGGTGTCGGGAAAGGCCACGCGCAGGCCGGACATGAGCGGCGAGTGCAGGATGACGGCGGCGCACGCGTGCCGGGAGGCCAGGTCCACGGTGGGCACGGTGCCGATGCTCTGCCCGTACAGGACGATGTTCTCGGGGCTCACGCCGTACCTGCGGGGCCAGAGTGCGCGCCGTGAGCGAGGAGTGGCCGGGAGAGAGGCCGGAGCCACGTGTCTGCCCGGCCGGCTGGCTCCGTGGCTGAGCGTCGACCTACGAACCAGGAGGTCAGGGTTCGATTCCCGGTCAGGGCACAGGCCCGGGTTGGGGGCTCCATCCCCAGTGGGGGGCGTGCAGGAGGCGGCCGGTCCGTGATTCTCTCTCATCGAGGATGTTTCTCTCTCTCCCTGTCCCTTCCTCTCTGAGATCAATGCTAATGTATAAAAAGCCAGGGGCTGTGACGACTTAAACAACCAGATGACCAAACAGGCTGCGTGGGGCAACCAGGTCGGCAGGGGGGGCAGTGAGGGGCAACCAGGCCAGTAGGGGGAAGGGGGACAGTTGGGGGTGATCAGGCCAGCACGGGGAGCAGTGAGGGGCAACCAGGTTGGAAGGGGGAGCAGTAAGGAGCGATCAGGCTGGCAGGGGGGTAGTTAGGGGCCACCAGGCAGGCAGGCATGTGAGCGGTTAGGAGCCAGCGGTCCAGGATTGTGAGAGGGATGTCCGACTGTCAAACCGGCAGTCCGGCATCCCCCGAGGGGTCCTGGATAGCAGAAGGTGCAGGCTGGGCTGAGGGAACCGTCACCCCCCCCCGCCCCCCACCCCCACCCCTTCGCACAGTGCACGAATTTCATGCACCGGGCCTCTAGTAAAAAAATAAAGAAAACCACAGTATCTTACACGCATGGGACCCCCATCGTACGCTTCGGCTTAAAATGAACGTGAACCCGGCAAAAGCAGGCGTTACCTCGACCCTCGGGACACGCCACGGACGCGCCACCTTCTACGCCATTTTGCAGCAACAGTGACCGGACATTTTTATTCTGAACCATTAACTGCATGCATTTCGCTCTACGATGTTATGGTCACCTCGCTCTCTGCGTTTCCCTGGATGTAGACGCTGTGGTAATCCCGTCTGTATTTCTGATATTAAAAACAGACGGCTCCGTGGCTTGGAGGGTCGAGGGTCGTCCCGTGCACTGGAACGGTCCCGGCGTGGCGCCCGGGTTGGGCATCCACCTAGGAACCAGGAGGTCAGGGTTCGATTCCCGGTCGGGGCCCATGCCTGGTTAGGGGGCGTGCAGGAGGCAGCTGATCCATGATTCTCTCTCATTATTGACTAGAGGCCCGGTACACAGATTCGTGCACTGGTGGGGTCCCTCGGCCTGGCCTGCGCCCTCTCGCAATCCGGGACCCCTCGGGGGATGTCAGAGAGCGGGTTTCGGCCCGATCCCCACAGGCCAGGCCGAGGGACCCCACTGGTGCAGGGCCTCTAGGATGCATAGAAGATCTTTGGTTAATCTCTTCCCGCCCTCCCCCCTCCCCCATCCCCCCTGAGATTCATCAGGCTGTTCCCTGTTTCCATGCCTGTGCGTTGAGCGTCTGCCCCCTGGTGGCCAGTGCGCGTCATGGCTACCGGTCGAACGGTCGCTTAGACTTTTATACATATGGATGTCTCTCTCACCCCCTCTCCCCTCCTCTCTGAAATCAATAAAAAGTTTTAAAAAATACAAAATACAAAGCATTTAGAACGCGGCCATCGGTTCCCCCTCAGCCTGGAGGATGTGCCCTGTGTGATCGCCCCGGGGGAACGCCCCGTCACCCCGAGGAGGTAGAACACGACCTGTTCGCTTTCCTTCGACGGAAGGCTTTCTGTGCCGACTGCACAGCGGGCTCTGGGGCCCCTCGCAGACACGCCGCATCCTGTTCAGGGGACCGGCCTTGATTCTGTCCCGGGGGGGGGGGGGGGCGTCCACGTCCCCTCGGAGGAAGCGAGCTTGGCCCAGGGCCCCCAACAGGGAAGTCCCTGGTGTAAATATTCCAGGGCTCCAGTTCCGGGTGGAAATACCTTCCGTCCCAGGACAGAGGCGAGCGGCCAAGGGCACTCAGGGGCATGTGAGCTGCAGGAGGAGGGGGTCTGAGCGGACGGAGACAGCCTCACAGACGGGAGAGCCGCGCTGGGGGGAGCGGAGGGGCCGACCTGCAGGGAAGCAGGTGGGTAAACAGGGCTGTCGGGCAGAGGACACAAACACTGCCAGGAAGGGCGGCCTGTGGGCACGTTCTCGGCCAGCCACACCCTCCCGGCCGTGGCCAGAGCTGTGCGCTCACCATTTAATTATGAGGAAGAGACAGAAGCATCCATCGCTGAAATATGCTCATCCCCCCCCCTTTTTTAAAAAAAAATACCCGGGACCCTTCAGTCCGAAGGCCGACGCTCTATCCACTGAGCCACACCGGCCCGGTCTAAAGTGTCCTTTTCTGAGACAGTCTCCCGTGCCAACAACGTCACCCTCAGAACAGCACGGCGTCCGGGGGACGTGCCCTGCGAGGAGGCCTGGGGAGGTGGCAGGGATGCCCGTCTCCACAGCCTCTCAAAACAGGTCAGGACGCACGTTACCTGGTTTTTGTAAAGCAGTAACCCCCCTCCCCACCCCCCAGCCCCCGTGTGCGATGCTTCCTTCTACCCCAGATGTTTGAGAATTCCTCCCAGACGGTGCTGCAGGCAAGGGCTTTGGCGTCGGGTCCAAACCCACCTTCAGAACAACTTAATTCCAGCCCTGGCCGGTGTGGCTCAGTGGATAGAGCATCAGCCTGTGGACTGGAGGGTCCCGGGTTTGATTCCGGTCAAGGGCACAGGCCCGGGTTGCGGGCTTCATCCCCAGGGTGGGGCGTGCAGGAGGCGGCTGATCCATGGTTCTCTCTCATCATGGATGTTTCTCTCTCTCACCCTCTCCCTTCCTCTCTGACATCAATTTTGGGGAAAAAAACACACACAAAAAACGAGAAACTGGAGAAACTGGAGAAACTGGAGAATCCGGTGTCTGGGGGTCTCCTAGGACGACAGCGACCGCCACAGCACACAAGACACTCGCTTGCCGATGGCTCATCTGTGGCCGTCACGCCAGACATGGCTCCGTCCGTCCCTGCGGGGGAACCGCTGAGACACCCACGGGAAGCCCTGGGCGCTCACACGCACTGGGGCAGAGAGCTCCCACCTGCTGTATCTTTTTAAAATATATATATTTTATTGATTTTTTACAGAGAGGAAGGGAGAGGGATAGAGAGTTAGAAACATTGATGAGAGAGAAACATCGATCAGCCGCCTCCTGCACGCCTCCCACTGGGGATGTGCCCGCAACCCAGGTACATGCCCTTGACCGGAATCGAACCCGGGACCCTTCAGTCCGCAGGCCGATGTGATATCCACTGAGCCACACCAGCCAGGGCCACCTGCTGTATCTTTCAGAGCATGTCCCCCTCCCCCATGTCCCTGGGCGGGGGGACAGGTGCCCAGCTCTGGCCAGCGCGGGGATCCCCTTCGGGGACCAGCGTGAGTGGAGCCATGACGGGCCTGGGGCGCCCTCTGTCACCCACAGAACGGGCCTCCGTAAGGATCCCCGCGCAGAGGACAGCGCGGCCGCGGGAGGGAGTGGCCGAGCCCAGACGGCAGCTGGAGTTTGGACCTGGGTGGCGCTCACAGGGCTCCGGGGCTCATGAGCCACAGGGAGGAGTGGTCAGGACTGGGGCGGGGTGGGGTGTGCGGGAGGGGGGGGGTGAGGGGCTGGGGCCGGGGCCGGGCGTGGAGATGCGCAGGGCAGGTGAGCAGGACGTGTGACCCTGGCAACCAGACCAGCGAGGACTGAGTCCCGTTATCTGACCTCCTTGCAGCCCGCGTCCCCGGCCACAGAGGGGAGGGCGTGTGGTCCCCTGACCTGCGGGGGGGGGGGGGGCGTGGCGGGGGTGGAAGGGGGGATGAAGTGAGGGAACAAGGGAGGCCCCAGGCAGCCCCCTCTCCCCCCTTGGCCGCTTGCCTGTTTCCATCCCCAGGTGAGGCCCCACCAGGATCTGACGAGGCCCCAGGGGGATCTGACATGGCCCCAGGGGATCTGACGAGGCCCCGGGGGGATCTGACATGGCCCCAGGGGATCTGACATGCCCCGGGGGATCTGACATGGCGCCAGGGGGATCTGACATGGCCCCGGGGGGATCTGACATGGCCCCGGGGGGGATCTGAGGAGGCTCCAGGGTGGTCTGATGAGGCCCTTAAGGATCTGACGAGGCCCCAGGGGATCTGACAAGGCCCCAATGGGATCTGATGAGGCCCCAGGGATCTGACGAGGCCCCAATGGGATCTGACGAGGCCCTGGGGGAGTTATGAGTCATCTGATCACCCGGAGCCCAGCCGATCACCCCGGAGCCCAGCCGATCACCTGGAGCCCAGCTGATCACCGGGGAGCCCAGCCAATCACCCCAGAGCCCAGCCGATCACCCGGGAGCCCAGCCGATCACCCGGGAGCCCAGCCGATCACCCGGAGCGGAGCCCAGCCGATCGATCACCCGGAGCCCAGCCGATCATCCCGGAGCCCAGCCGATCGATCACCCGGAGCCAGCCGATCGATCACCCGGAGCCCAGCCGATCATCCCGGAGCCCAGCCTATCACCAGAGCCCAGCCGATCGATCACCCAGAGCCCAGCCGATCATACCAGAGCCCAGCCGATCACCCGGAGCCCAGCCGATCGATCACCCGGAGCCCAGCCGATCACCCGGAGCCCAGCCGATCGATCACCCGGAGCCCAGCCGATCACCCGGAGCCCAGCCGATCGATCACCCGGAGCCCAGCCGATCACCCGGGAGCCCAGCCGATCACCCGGGAGCCCAGCCGATCACCCGGAGCCCAGCCGATCGATCACCCGGAGCCCAGCCGATCATCCCGGAGCCCAGCCGATCACCCGGAGCCCAGCCGATCGATCACCCGGAGCCCAGCCGATCACCCGGGAGCCCAGCCGATCACCCGGGAGCCCAGCCGATCACCCGGAGCCCCACCGATCACCCGGAGCCCAGCCGATCGATCACCCGGAGCCCAGCCGATCATCCCGGAGCCCAGCCGATCACCAGGAGCCCAGCCAATCGAACACCCGGAGGCCAGCCGATCACCCGGGAGCCCAGCCGATCA